TTCGGAAATTCCATTCCAATTTCCACCCCTAGGTGGGCTTGATAATAATTGGTAGAATTTAGTGTCTAGGATTAGATAATTAAATATTCCCTGTGGGTTCGGTATCCGGACTTTTAGTCCACTATATTACTTGTACGATACGTGCACTTGCGTGTAGGTTTTCGGCCAACAGAAACTACCACCAAAACGACCAAAACGAAGCTTATACAGAGGGCTTTCGAACGCTATACCCCGCTCGCCAAAACTCCGCCGGAAAGATCTTGAAGTCACCATCTTTGTCTCCATCGATTAAACCCTAGCCGCCTCGTTTTTTCTTGACTTAAGGTAGTTTTTCTTGCTGAAGATTCAGTGGAAGATTGATGATCGGATGAAGATGAAGAAAGAAGACAACTCAGCACTTCTCTACGTGTCTTCTCCTTAAAATTCCAATTAGCCTCATAATTATCCGCTTAATTACAATAAGTCAGATTCTTCCTCCATAAGTTTCTAATATATGGAATTATCATCTGCCTTAACTATCCTAATACCATACCAGCCCATTTAAATTACCTTATTTACTCTTTTTCCCCAACTTTATTTATCAATAACATCTAAGCAACCTAAATCTCACTATATTATTATATTACTCTCATTAATGAATAAACTTCAATAATATACATGTATAAACTATTATTATACCACATAATAAAAATGAAGGGGTGTTACATTTAGAATTTGTGTGAACTTGTTTTAATGGAAAAAACCAGTTTCCATCGAATTCATCCGATCTGAAACATTTTCGATTTTGTAATAAGTTTTTTCATGATAATTTTCAAACTTTTGCTTTTTATATTTTTTTCTCGAACGAAATTCTAAAAGTTGTAACTATGATCATCTATTTATGATATTCACCCCTAAATGCATTTCTCATAAATATACGTAATACATTTGTTGGGGTAAATTACAGCCACCTTTGAGATAAAGTTACATTTCGGAAAAAACCCTTCATGTCGGGATAATTACAATCATCCATCAACTATGAATCTTCTTACATGTCCACCACTGCAGTGTCAAATTTAGTGAAATCTTATGGATCATGTAAAATATTCTCCAATTTTGTACCGTTTCATCTCATTACAGCTCCACATTTAGAAACAAGATGGTCATAAAATTTGAATATTGACTTGTGAATATCAGATTGTGGTGTAACAGAAACAGTCATTTTGCACAAAACGAGTACAAACTAGGAAACGTTTCATGGAATCGAGAAGATTATGTTGAATTTGACACCATAAGGATGGACGTGTAAGAAAATTCATAGTTGAGCGGGTGATTATAATTACCTAAACATGAAATCTTTTTTTTTCGTAATTTGACCTTACTCCAGGGGTGTGACCGTAATTTACCCTATATTTGTTAGGATTTCCACCACGTGTTTAGGCAGCACAAGTATTTGGAGTTGGAGTAATTGGGCCACAATTTAATTAGGGCAAATGGCAAAAAGGCCCATCACATGGGACTTAAATGCATTTTAGTCCACAAAAAAAACAGTCTCTCAATTAAGTCCATCCCCATGTCTTTAGTCTAAAATACCCTCAATAATATAATTCTTAACAATTCCACCCATTATGCTCTAACTTCCTTAATATTGCACATGACCC